CTCGAGCTTTCATTCAATTCGGGCACCCACATCCCGATTTCCGATCCCCGCTTTCAAATCGAATTCCAACCGTATTCTCCGCCATCCAGGCGTTTCGCCCGCGCTACTTTGCCGAGGAAAAACGACGTATGAACATCCATACATTGCCAAATTTTTGCCGATACAAATCGTATATTCCAGGGTATTTGCATGTATTTTTCTTTGAGTATTAATGAAAATCTCACGCATAATTCAATATCGTTTAACTGAAAATTACAAAGAGAAATATGTGTGACTAACCTAAGAAATAAATAATTTTCAAAAACAAATTTGGCCAACTCTTAGTGTTTATAAGGTGTTTTTCCTTAACGCCCCTACATTTGTGTGAGTGTGTGCTGGTAAATCGGCACTTTTTCTCATTTAAACTCATGTAAAATACTCACTTTTCATTGTGCAACCTGGCAACCTTGACGCCCCATCTCTACACTTATTCTTCGCTTTCAAATCGACTCGCCCGCGCTGCCGTTTGGAAACCAAATTTTTTGGAGAACTTATTCGTAAAAGCTCTCGATCTTTCCAGAGAATTTTAGACATATTATAATCTACTAGGGGACTTTCCCCCCTGGCCGCTACGCGGGCCAACTCCCAGAGGGCGCTTTGCGCTCTCTTAGGCCCACGTTGACAAAAGAACAACCAAAAAAGATAAAAATATTTTCATACCCGACTCTCATATGTGAAATCTCCTTCTGGCCGGGAGCGATTGAACCATTAACTGTCGGCGCCGGCGTGTTGCGGCGCTTTGAGCTACTATTTCGCCACGGAGGTGTTGCACAGTATCATTCGAGATTGAAGGCACCCAAACATATCATGATCGATGCCATTTGATTGCAAATTAAATCGAGTGTCGATGACAAAAAGAGAGCGGTGGTCAAAAACGTCCTAGTCTCCGTATTCAGTAACGTTCCGCATGATTTTTGAACTTCATTACAGGAAAAAGTGAATCGATTCCAACAGAAGTATGCCCTAATTTACTGCCGAGAAAATTTCCTTTTTATCAATAATTAAATAATGCTTGTCTTTAGAAGAGAAGATGCTTACATAAAAAGAAAAGTCACTTACATCAAGCAGAAACCCGAAATCATACAGCGATTTTATTCTTGGTTCAAAATAAAATCGTTTCGACAGCATACTTGAGAATGTTCCTGCCTAAATCGAGTCACTTTTTCCTCTAATGAACGGCGCGATGGGCAGCCGGCCAGCGTGGAACGCGCACTGGCCCCTACAAACCTAAGGGAATACCTCACGCATTGCGCAATGCTTGAAGTATCCACTTAGGTTTGTAGGCGTCATGCGCGTTCCGCGCACGCAGCACGCTGCTCCGCTCTGTGTTGGGCTGTAATAATTTAAACTCGAGGAGTCAGCGTTTTTCAAGTCATGATTTTGAAATGTTTACACATTCTGCATGGATTATTTTCATCTAAATTGATGAAAACAAATATGTTTTAAAGGCCAATATAAGGTGTGCTTTGTAAATATTAAGGTGGTTCCAAGTCAAATTAAATGATTTCCAAAGTGCCTCAATTTTTTCTTTTATATTTCGTGCTTTCACGTGGTGCACGCGCAACCAAACGCTTAAAATTGAACGTATTCGTCTCTGAAGGATCGATGAAAATATGGGTTAGACCCAAAAATTGCGTTATTCGTGGTTATTTCTCTTTTATTCACTTATGAATAGTTCCTTTCAACAAAACCATGGCTCATTGAGATGAAAATTAAACCAAAATAAGCGGAAGTTTCCTTAAAAATAAATATTTTGGCAGGAGAATTTTGCCAACCTCCGATTATCCATACAGCTGTTCGAGGAAGCGCGTACTCCACCCCGCGGCTGCCTTCGCCGCACAGTGGATCCAGCCAATCAGAGAGGTCGGACATGAAAATTTTGACCAAAACTGCAAATTTTAATGCTTAATTCTTCTCATTTTAAATTTTAAGGGGCGCCTCAATATGAAAATTTCACGAGAAAACCAATGGAACTACCCTTAAAACCTCAAAGTTTTGTATGAACAGAGTTGTAAGCTTTTATTTGCTGTATATAATTTTGGTTTGTACAATTGGTTACAATTTGGTACAAAGTCCGCCAGAGCGGAACGCGCACCGACGCCTACAAACCTAAGGGAATACTTCACGCATTGCGCAATGCTTGGAGTATCCCCTTAGGTTTGTAGGCGCCCGTGTTGTATGAACACAGTTATAAGCTTTAATTTGCTGTATACAATTTTGGCCGACTTTTTCCATTGACTCGATCCACTGAGCGCCGCCGTGAGTCGGACAAACCTTAACTCTGAATGGGAACCCATTGTGATTTCAAGTATTGCAGTGGGAACCCAAATAATGATCCCCCCGAAAGGATGAAACTCTGGACTCCCTCTTCATAAACCACCAAAATTTTGACTCACGAAAAATACTTATAAATGCCGGTCTAGTCACTACCTACGAAAAATTCACTCGAGAAAGAGGCGCCAGAGAGGGATTCATCAGGTCGGTGATGCTGTTTTCTCTCCATTTGAATTCCTGTCAAATAATCGATTCTTGTCGAAGTGCCTGACCTCTCCGAGAATCGATACATTTTCATAGACTTAAATGGAGAGATAACAATGTTGACGAATTGCTGGACCCGCTAATGGAGCCGCTTAGCCCTATAAGCTGCTTACCTCTTTTTAGGGAGCCAGAATTTATCTTCCCTCAGTTTAAAAAAAGAGAAAATATGGATACGATTTTTGAAGCTATCTTCAGAAGTTATGAAAAATATATTGATTTGTCTAGAGATCTGCTATTAATTACCAGAAAAATGAGGAAATTTTTCTAAAAAAAAAAATGACGCAAATTTTTGACGTTTTTTTTTTAACATTTAACTTATGATCTTGTTCGCGAAATGTTGATTTCTCAATTCTCAGTTTTCCTGCCAGTGACCAAGAAATTTGAATTTTTGAATAATCCCGGCAAGCTTAAATATGTTTGGCAAATTCAGCGCTGGAGAAGAAATTAACTATACGATATCTCTAAAAACGAGCAGAGCCCGGACCGTGCACCCGTGTGCACCCGTGTCAATTACTAATAAGAAGTTGTAGCGATAATCATTTTTAGACCAAAACTATGCGAGAAAATGCTATTCAACCCGACGATTTTCAGCCTCTGTCGTGATAACAAATTACAACTGTGCGAGTGTTTATTCTCAAAACTGCAATTTTATATGAGTAAAATTCACCATAATTGTTTCAATTTGATTTGATATTCCGGGCGCCTCACAGTGGATCGAGTTAATGAAGGACGTTGGAAATGACTTCATTTACTACAACTGCAAATTTCCACATTTATTTCGTCAAATTTTAAATTTTTAGGGGGCGTTTCTTGTAGTGAATCTTACAAGAAAACCAGTGAGACCATTTTTAAGACCTCGATATCTTGTCATAATGGAGTTATAAGCTTTTAGAGTTTCCAGATGTTGTTCGACCCCTCCTATTGACTCGATCCACTTTTCGCCTTTTGTTTCAGGGCGATCACGAGCCTCCCTTGGGATGTTGTCTGAATATCTAGATTTTGCGTCTCTATACATTAATTTCATTTGATGATATAATTTTGATTTTAATTCATTTCCAGGCTCTAAGTACAGGGCTCGTATTCCGGTCGGATACTTGGGTCTTGGTGCAGACGGATTTCAAACCCGTGTCTTACAATTTGAACAATCTCAATTGCTCTGTGACGCAGGTCAAACTAGAGGAATCCTTATGCTGCAAGTTCACGGACCTGAAAGAGGACTGTGCGTGTCCAGATAATTTCAAGGCAAGTTCTCACACAGTTGTTTTTTTTTATTTTAATTGTACACATGGGAGTTAAACTGGTAGAGCATTGTAGACACTGGAAAGTGCGGAGATTAAACGAGCTTTTCTCAATAAGGATATTCCTCTCAACACCAAAATAGAGATTTTGAATGCCTCATCATTAACGGTCTTCATATTTAAATCTCCTACCATTAGCTCCGTTTTGGGGTTGGTATTTCTCATTTAGCAGGAGAAATCTTTTCATCTCTCAATTACATATATTTGTTTGGTTACTCCTGTGTTCACTCTTTGGAGCTTCATGTATTACTCCAGTTCTATGTTACCTCATCGGAAAACATTGATGAACTCTCCAAAAACGTCGGGTGGAGCAATCATTGGGGCTATGCTGGCGCCATAAACGCATATCTCCATGGTATGATCCTGGCTTTCCTGATGACATTTTCTGATTAGTTGATTCATTAATCGATTAAAACGCAGATATCGAGGAACACACAAAAACTGGCTTCACTTTTTTAATAAGGAAACTGAGTTCTTCATTTTTAATTTAATTTTTGCTGATAATATGGATGCTAAAAATACATCCGAAATAAATAAAAAATCTTACGAAAAAGCATGTTATTGTGTCCTTATTTCTTAAATTTCTTTGTTAAGACGTATCGAAAAATAAGCACTAGAAGTTTTCATGGCAGCAATCTCAGTATCAAATGATACATAGCAAGCCTAAAGTCCAGTTTTGTATAAACAGAGAAAGTTTACTTACATTAAAATCAAATCTTTTGAGCTAAATGGTGTGTTAAACATTGAATTGTTTAAGAAAAGGAATATGTATTTTGACTGTTGGGTTCTTTTCCTGTGGATCTCGAGGAGGAGACGGGGGAGAAGAGATTTGAAGATTCATTTCTACGAGACGCAATTTAAACGTGTGTTTTTGAATTTAAAAACTTTATTCTGAATTTTAGATGCTGTGGAAAGATAGGCTCATAAAGAACCACTCCTGACTTCTCATACTGAAAGTGTAATTCGTTTCCATTCTGTTGGATTCGTGCAAAATATACATTTGCATTCTACTTTTTAGTCATTTTCATTTGTGATAACCCGAATGTTTCCTATCAAGCATTTTCAAATTTTCATCCTGATCGACCAATTTTCAATTTATTTTCACCAGATTGCGGATAAATTTTTGGAACTCGCATCTCAGTTGATTTTTGAGGCTGTGAAAACATTGAAAGATATGGAGACTCCATGGGAACCAAAGGAGGTTGATTGTGGTGTAAAGGGTTCACGCGGACAAATTTCATCGGAGTTTCAAAAAGTTGTCGAAAAGTTGGTAGGTAATTTGTGCTGTTTTTAATGAACAAGTAGTTTCACATCGACGCGACGCGACGATGCGACTGGAAAGGCACATAATCTCGACTGCGGCATTTAGGAAATCATACAGCGATTTTATTCTTGATTCAAAATAAAATCGTCTCGACAGCATACTCAAGAATGTTTCTGCCGAAATCGAGTCATTTTTTCCTCCAATGAACGGCGCGACGGGCGGCCGGCCAGCGCGGAACGCGCACTGAAACCTACCCTACAAACCTAAGGGAATACTTCACGCATTGCGCAATGCTTGAAGTATCCCCTTAGGTTTGCAGGCGCCAGTGCGCGTTCCGCGCACGCAGCACGCCGCTCCGCTCTGTGTTGGGCTGCAATACTTAAACTCGCGGATTCAGCGTTTTTCAACCCATGACTTTGAAATGTTTGCACACTCTGCATGGATTATTTTCATTGTGAGTATAATCGATGTGTGTTAAATTTAAAACATAAGGTGAGTTTAATCATTTTTATCTTAGAATTATCCTATAGTATTTGTGTACCATTGAATTTTAGCTCACTCGGTTTAGGCTTAAATTTAGTATTTATTTTGTTTTTTAAAAAAAGGCGTAAGTTTTTGATATCCTTATTATATAGGGCAACCCCTAGAAAGGGTATTTTAATATGCGGCACTACACAGTGCCCACTCGAGTATGGGTTGGGCGTGTCTGTAATTTTGGAAGTTACGTTTGACCGTGTGAATCGCTCTCTCGGTACAATGGGTCAGTTGCGCTGGTCACAGATTTGTGTTTTGATGCTTGATTCTGGTAGAACGTCTAAAAACAATACGATGCGACCGAACATCAACTTTCTACGGTCAATATTAACCGAGATATCGCCCTTTGAAAAGTCGGGTTTTAACGTCATCCACCTCAGTATTGCCCCTTGGTTTCTCCCACCTTACTTTTCGAAGTCCGTGTGACGCACACTTACACCAGTTACTTCACGTGAAACTCGGATGACAGCAAGATGAATGAAACCAAAGAATGTCACTACCGCGCGCGGTAGACGTCAAAAACTCGGCTTTGCAAAGTGTGATTTCTCGGTTAATATTGAACGTAGAAAGTTGCTGTTTGGACAGATCTTATTATTTTTATCTAATCTACAAATATCAAGCATCAAAATCCGATTCTGTGACCAGGGAAACTGACCTACTCCGAGGAGGAAACCTGTAGCGAAGAGCTTTAACTCACTCTTCTTACAATGACCCAATGGTATATTTTTCTCTTAAGTAAGATTTCCCGCTGATCGAACTCAACCCTTTCCGGAGGCAGCGGCATTCTGAAGTGACGGACCTTTAACTCATCACGCTGACGTTGAATAAATTAAGAGGACGTCAAATTAATGGTCTTTTAATTTGATTCCCCGCTCCTCGGCGAAGGGAAAAGCGCGAGACAAGAAAAACCAGTCATGAATAAGTCATGCGACATCTTTATTCGGCTCCACACTTGCGGTGCACCCCACGGCTCAGCCTTCGTTTACATAAAATGGACTGTGTAAAAACCCAACATCTCCAGTTCCAGACGAGCTCTCAAGTACGTAAGTTTCCTCATAGGCAGAGCTCATCTGATAAAAGCGTCTTTGATAGTAGCATGGACTGATTACTGCAGAAAAAGCTGTTCAGATATTTTTTTTAAGCATATACTGACATTGCATCTTTTAATCGACGGTAGGGGAATAATAGGTAAATCCAGCACGTCAGTAATTGGGCTCACCGTCAGCGAATTAGCTTCGTTTTTTTGCCCCTCCTTTTTTCATGGCTTGCAGCACAATTAGAAATCCGACGTCAGTTCCTGCCGTAGACTCCAAGACGCATTTTTCGACGGAGGCGTTGCAATTTTATTGCCACTTCATCAAAATAAATCGATGGAATCATTTACATTCAAACCATTTTGCCAAAATCCACAATAACCGCACTGTTCCATATAGATCAAATCAGTAATGTATTTTTTATCCCGATTCTGTCACCTATTGCATCGCCAAGAATTGCCTTTCGGTGAAAGCGTTGAGTTTGATGCCGGGTATAGAAGATCATGAACTGCACGGGCCGGAGAATGTAAATGTGTAAGAGTAGGCTTAACCAAGGATGAAATGATGGAAAGCTGCTAATGCAGAAACGCAGAAAGATTTTTCTTGCGAGCGGGGTATTCTTTGTCGTGACCCATGCTGAATAAAAAATTTAAGATCTTAGTCAGGAATTACTTTCCGCAATTTCGTCAGGTTAATCTTGTTTTGCCTGAAATTTTGATGATTAGAATCTTTAAATTCTTATCTCGTCCAGTCGATTTCGTTCGATTTCGATTATTCGATGAATTCTAACTTTCTCATCAAAACTCGCGGGTCTTCGTAAAAAAAAAACGCGATTAACTTCGTAAATTGTCAAAATTTGACCATCCGCTCAGACATTTGAACGTATTTCTGCCGAACGGAATTATGTGCATAAAGACGTGAGCCCTGTTATGCATATATTCTTTTAGCTCTCAGGGCTCATGTCCTAATGCGCATAGTTCCGATTGGAAGAAATACGTCCATTTGATGACCTGATGCCTTTTGAAATTCACCTTAATGAAATGTCTCTTTTGGAAAAAAATGGATTGCTGATTTAACAATTAGATTGTTAAAAAAATACATACATGTTACAAATGTAAATTTTACAATATTGGAAAGCTAATTTAACTACGGGGACGGTTAAATGACCATTTTTCTTTTGTAGAATCTATATTGGAACATATGTCGGACACTTTTTTAAACTACAAACTTGTTTAACCAGCAATTTCATTTATTTCGTGCGGCTGATACACATCGATGGTGTAAGTCGGCAATCAAATATCTCGTTTGCAGTGCGTCTGAAAATCTCCGCCTCAATGTTATTTATTTAAAGGAGAACAAATTGACATCATTCCTCGAAGTTGATGCAAAATTTTTCTTTGCATAGAGAAGAAAAATCTCGGCAGTTTTAAAGAATTGCCGTCGAGCAGTATCCCGTTTAAAAAATAAATTATGACAGGAAGTCTGCGACGTCGCAAACAGAGTTATGTGAAAGCCGACTTACACCGTCGATATGCAATTATGCATTGCTTATTTGGCCATTTGCTTATTTGCAAAATTTGGCAACCCTAAAGCCGAGGAGTCTAGTGTGTGGATGCTTGTCACACGTTTTATTGCTCCCTTTCAGCTGAGGCTCCTGAGTATTACGGTCGTAGCGCTCATCCTATGTTCGCCAAATCCTCCCCTCTGACCCTGCAACCCTGCAACCTTGCGACCCTGCATCCCTGCGTTTCACCAAGTACACATTTTTTTTGCCTCGAGAAACCTTTCGTCAGTTTTCCGTGCTCCCTTAATTAGTTTCAAGAAATGAGGGGTCCGCTCAAAATCTGTCTCCGAGAAACCTTCCCCGCTCATCTTTTGTCCAGCTCTCTCCGTCTTTCCAGGGAAAACTTCATTATTCTCCTCTTTTTACTTGTATTCGTTGCATTTGTTATATCCTGTTTCGCGAGCGTCTGTTTACCCCGTGCCTGAAATATACAATCGCACGAGGAAATGCTGGAAGTTAATAAAGTTAGTCAGATCAAACGCTTTTATCCTCACAAATACGTTTGAGCTTGCCTTGAATGTAAATTCCTCTTACTAGACGGCTAAGTGGAGCCGTCTCCATTCACAGTCATCTTACGATCTCTCTATAATATGTCTCAATAGACCTTTTTAAATCACAAATAATTCTGCTATCTTTCTTCTCGAATCCTCTGTGGAGATGTTGGCAGCACATCTATACTTCCAACGTTGTTGGAATGCTATGCAAATCCCCATGATTTATTGTAAAGACATTCTATAAAAAGAATTACGAATAATCAGTGGAATTCTCTGACTAAAAATATAACCAAAGCTGAGCCGGCATGAAAAGGAACGGAATTACACGAATTGCAATTTTGCCTTCAATTTTCAGATAGGCAAGAACATCCTCCGTGCAGCTAAAATTATCTACTCGAAGTTCTGTTTCTTCCTCGTGTTGTCTACACATTCTATAAAACGAATTACGAATATTCAGTGGCATTCTCTGACTAAAAATATAACCTAAGCTGAGCCGGCATGAAAAGGAACGGAATTACACGAATTGCAATTTTGCCTTCAATGTTCAAGATAGGCCATAGGACACCCTCCGTGCGGCTATATATATTTAAATATATATATATATATATAATATATATATATATATATATAAAATATTTATTTAAAAATATTTATTTAAAAAATATTTATTTAAAAAATTATATTAAAAATATATATATATATATATATATATATATATATATATATATATATATATATATATATATATATATATATATATATATATATAAATATTTTTTCAGTGTAGCATTTCTTGCATCATCACCTCTAGCATTTTGTGTGTTTGTTCAAAGGTAGGGAACTCGTCCGTCTTGAAATTTGAGGAGGACTTCAAACGGCTGCACTATCAGACGTATTTCGAGTTCAGATCATTTAATCGGTCAACTCCTCCTGAGCTGGCACCTTTCGCCACCTCAGAATCTGCAGATATCCAGGTCCACAACGATTCCGACATCAAACCACTTCGGCGCTTTTTCAGGGTCGGCACCACATTGGTAAGTCGTAAAAAGGACAGAGGCGGCTCCAGCAATTTGGCGACGCCGGATTCTCTCCATTTAAACCTATGTTAAATAATCGATTCTTGCCGGAGCACCTGGACCCTTTGGAGATCGATACATTTCCATAGGTTTAAATGGAGAAAAACAATGTTGCCAATTTGCTGGATCCGCCGATGAAAAGGGAGGGTTGAAGTTCTTTTCCACCAATGAAACTTATTTTTTTTTTCTTTTGAGTATTACACAAATGTAGTACATGAGATAATAGATAAATAAAATAAATAAATAATAATACAAACATAAAGTCAATAGATAAGACAATCAATGCACTAAGTAATTAGGCTAGATAATCGATGCAGTAAGTAAGTATAGGTCAGACAATCAATGCATAGTCAATGAATTAAGTTAGAAGGTAGGAAAAAAGAAAAAGAAGAAGAAAAAGAGTAGAGAAATATGAAAGCTGACTGTTTTAAAACGTATGTAGGAGTTTGCACTCACGACGTTTTGTGAGGGAGCGTTTTCCATTTATCACTATAGAGAGGCAAGATTTCATTACGTCCAGACGGGTGGTAAATATCTCTAAGGGGCCGCCGCGCCAGACGTCAACATCAGTCCACCAAGACTGAAAATTAAGTTATCCATACCAGCACACAGGAAATATTCGACAACTATTCGCCAATATACGTCCATAAATACCTAAAAACACACCAAAAAAACACACAAAAAACGCCTTGTAAGGTCGGATCAAATCGAAGTTTTCAAATTTTACGAAACGATAGTGGAGGGTTGAAAAAGTTTCTGCAGCAGGAGTATTGTCGCAGGCAAATAGTCAAATCAGGCATTTCATCAAATGCCCAGGCAAATGGCTGATTATTCTTACTTAGTTTAAAATTATGATTCTTCTGCTGATTTTAGACAATATTTTAACCGGTTTTTAGCTCCTGAACAAACATGTATGTTGAAATTTACAGCATGTAGCATAAAACAATTTTTTTTTAAAATTTGCATTATTAAATCTACGGAGAGCGTTTGCAGAGAAAGAAACAAAGAGATTCAAAGATTTAATGAGTCATTTTTTATAAAATATTGAAAACTCATGAGCCTCTTGTTATTAATTTAAACAGGTTCATAAACTGTCAAAATTTGACTATCTGTCTAGGCCTTTGATAAAATGCCTGATTTGATTTATTGCCTGCGACAGTATCAAAAGAACAACACATACATACTTCGAATAAAAGTAATTTTTCGGCAGGGAAACGAAGTTTTTTGCAACTATGGAGCATGCCTCGCGCTTAATTCCTTGTGTAAATTTTTTAGTTCCGCCATTGATATATTCGTTACTCGGGCTATATTTTTTAAAAAATGTTCCTCAAAACTGATCGACTTTTGAATGCTCGATCAAACTTTTTCTTAAACCGGGTTTAATCGCAATGCAGTGAAATGTAATCAATAAAGGCAGTTTTAAGGAAGGAGCTATTGTTAGAATGAATATGATCGCCATCCATGAGATTGTATAAGTTTACCAATGTGATGAGATTACCGGCTCCTGGCTTACAGGAAGATAAAAGAGATTCCTTTGGCCATCCACTGATGGAATAATTTGTCCCACGGACAAAACAAACACAGGAAAATGGAAAAAGAGTTGTTGGATTGAAACGGTCGCAGGAAGAAAGGCAATCTCATCAGGACGAAAACAAGGATGGCTTTTAAATATTAGCTTTGAGCTCCAGTACGCTTTTACCCCCTCCACGTTTTCCAGACTCATTCGCGGCTTTGATATTGGCACTACGGCGACGTAAATGTAAAGGAAACCGAGGACGTAATAATGATTTTCAATCCTATTTGAGAAACTTAATAAAAATCAAAGCATTAGAGCATTGAAAGTACAACACAAAATCAAGATACAGTAATTTAGTGACCTCCAAATTAGGATAATTTTGATTTAAGAACTCATGTTCAACATAATACCCTCCCGTATAAAATTTGAAAATGATAATTCCGTCGATATTCTTACGGCATGGCTTGAACCGAGTTCATCAGAAGGGAACCAACCGATATTGAGTAGTTGAAACTGAGAAAAAGTGGCTTGAAGTTTCACTCCTGCATAAGGCTCAACATGAAAAGTAAACTTTAGCCTCTTTTCACAAAACAGATTTCGTTTTTAGACCTTTAGGTTTTAAGTTTTTTCTCTTTTTTTGGGAGGAGAGAATATGCGGCTAGTGAAAACATTTTGGCTGAATTTTTTTGAAAATTAGGGTTGGCTCCTTTCTACGTTGGGATTTTTTCCGCTAACGTGCGTTAAAAACTCAGCATTAAGCTGAAAATTCTCACAGCGGAGGGAAAAACTCCTATGGAGTACTGGTTTCCCTCATAGAGATATGCTGTTTGGTGCGACACTAGTTACGTCCATATTCCTGGCAGTTGCCTTCCTGAATATGGGCGTAACTAGTGTTGCACTTAACAGCATATCTCTATGAGGGAAACCAGTACTCCAAAGGAGTTTTTCCCTCTGCTGTGAGAATTTTCAGCTTAATGCTGAGTTTTTAACGCACGTTAGCGGAAAAAATCCCAACGTACTAACGACCCGTGCGTCCACCGCAATCAGTTTGGTTCCTTTTTGTTAACTCGGTCTATTTGAACTTAAGCGTTTAAATTTCATGACAACCGCTCAGAAAAATCCTACGGTATATTGATTTTAAGTTATGAGCTCCTCAATTCCTCAATAAGTGATCATAAAGCGTTTCTCAACATTTCCTTGCATAATACAAAATCACATGAGTCCTGAAGTACATTCCCTCTAATGAACTCTGGGAGTCATCAGAAAATGGGCATCACACATGAAAAATTTCAAACAGTGCCCACAGTCTCCCTGGAGTCGACTAATATTTAACAACATTTCAGTCCGTTCGCCGAGAGTGCAAAAAATTACCCATTTAATCGTTTCATGGATGCGTCAAATAAAAAATCGTCACGCTAACTTTTCCCCTTGTATTTATTTTTCTCTTTTTGCGTCAGTTTCCATTGAAAGCGGAATCCGAGACGTCCTACTAACGAAGGCGTAATTCCGGGCCCGTGTGCGGTTGAAAAAGGCTCTGCGCGCAAACTAATGTTTTAAAGATCAAAAGAATACCAGCGCATAAATGTGCGTTTGGTGTATTTTTAAGCATTTTATCTCTCGTTTGACGCCACGCGTAAGTCTTGTTTTGGGTTGATCTCTGTCGCCCATCTAAATCCATGCTTTCCAGGACCTACGTCAGAATGGTATCACACTTCGAATTCAGAGATGCGATGTTCTGCGGATTGTGTGAGGCAGTTTAGCGAGGATTCAAATATCGTTCTGGGATTCCACTCTGATTTTTTTCCACTCTTTTCTCCTCCCTGATTCCTCTCTTCCACTCCTTCTAGTTCCTCCGAATTGTCCATTGGAATGAAAAAAAAAAATAATATAAGTAATCAACTAAAATATTGGGTAAACTGAAATAAAGTTCTCAATTGAGGCATTTTTCGGTAGAAGGGCGTATGAGGCTTGCAATGCTGCTGAGATTGTGAAATGTTTTATAGCGTTTGAGGAAGATTAAATTCATCTGCAGTCGCCTTCCTTCCTTACAATAGTGAAGAAGAACTCAGGGCAGATTCAGGGAAAAATTCACAGCTGTTACTTATAAGTAAAATACACACTGACAAGTTACTTAGAGAACTACTTTACACAATCCTATAGCAGCATTGGAAGTCTCATACGCCCTTTTACCAAAAAATGCCTCAATTACAGGTAGGTAGGCGGGTAGGCCTCGATTATCCCCGGATAGTCTGAGTGACTTTTTATCTTCTTCTTCTTTTTTTGAGTCAGCTAGTCGAAGAGACTGTTCAGACTCGTGAGAGAGCTAATTGAGAGAGCTGGTCAATAGAGGCTTGCATGCAGTTCATAGAGCCTTAAAAAACTGGAAGTAGCAGAGTGAATACACGAGGCACATGGAAAAAGTTTCAGCCCAAAAAACGGAGCAAATGAATCTTCCAAATCTGTAGTGGAGAGTTCCAAAAGGACTTTTGAATGCCTTTTTTAACAAAACGTTGTTGCTGCTTGTAGTTTTGAGTTTTCAGCGATGTTACATAATTCACGGTACCTTTTGTCCGAATCACTGTGGATAATGGAGACTCTACTAAAAATATGTTTTTAAAATTGGATTGCATTTTGCCAAAAGGAACCTAGAGCATTCCAATATCACTAAGATTGTGCAATTTGTTTACCTCGCAAATATAAACTGATCATCTAAACACGTTTCATCTTTACTCCTAGTAAACTTCACTTCAAGACGAAAATTACCTTTGTAAATTTAATGTTTTGCATGATTTCAGTAATCATGTTACAAAGAATGTAAGTTGCAAGATCTTAGCAACATTGGAATACTTTTGGTTCCTTTTTGCAAAATGCAATCCAATTGATTGTACGCAAATTGCATTATCCTCTGAGCAGGCTATACCCTGGTCCTACCCTTCCTTGGACCCAGACACAGGGCTCGTCCGACGAGACGCGATGGGGAACGAGATCTGGGAGGGCTACTGCATCGAGCTCGTCGAGAAACTCGCCGAGGATATGAAATTCGATTATCAGCTGGTCATCAAAGAGTCCTTCGGCAAACGCTCGCCCAACGGGACATGGAGTGGCCTCGTTGGAGACCTTGCCACTGGGGTAAGTTTAGAGGGCACACTCCTTCAACAATACTGCCGTGCTAAGGAAGAACGCCGTATGAACATCCGAGAGTTGCCAAAGTTCCTTCGATAAATCGTTCATTTTTGAGGAAAGTTATGAATATTTTTCCTTTAGATTTTCAGAATTTGTAGGTGAAATTGCGTACAATATCATCTGAAAAATTGGAAGGAAAATATTCATACATTTACGAGGAAATTTGTGTTTTATCAGAGGAAATTTGTCAACGCCTGGTGGCTCATACGGCGTTCTTCCTTAGCACGGCAGAATAATACTCCCCTCCCCTTCTTTCCGGCATGTTGATTTGGATGATTTGCCGGTGAGAGCCTTTTGGAAGTTCCAGAAGGCCTCTTGTGCAAGCTTACACATGAACCGCGTTGAGCAGAAAGGAATCAAGCCACGTCAGTAATTGGCAAAGAGCCTCGCCAAAAAGTGGTGTTTTTTCGCCCCTTCTTTTATACCCGAGTTGGTCAACGGGACAAGGCTCAAACGAAAGCTTATGGTAAGGCAAACTTCCATGCAAAGTTTCAACTTGAAGTGAAACCTCGTTTAGGCTGTACAGCGTTGACAATTTT